ATTGAAGGAGATACTTTTAGCCTGACTTGTGAGGTATCTGGGGATCCTACGCCAAATGTTACTTGGATTACAGTGAGCGATGATGAGCACAGTTATGGAAACATACTGAACTTTACCAACATTACGAGAGGTCATACCAGAGACTATAGATGTGAAACAAAGAATAGGTGTGGAAAGGAATCAAGGAATGAATTTATCAACGTCTTTTGTAAGCCCTGCAATATTTGCTCTTTATTATTTATTTATTCTGGGGTTTATCATAATTTATAATTTACATTGGAACCCCGCCTTATCGGCACCTCCTTAATGCGGTTGCTTTTCATGGCCCGTTGGTGACCGTATTAACGGTGTTCCACGGTATCTCTCGCATGATTTCAATATGATAGCAAGGTTTGAGGCAGTACAACCCATTTTAGCATGACATTGGCCATTTAACTTATCTAGTTAGCGTAGAAGAGCATTGTAGAATCGAGTGATTCATGTTTGCTTACTAAGTAAGTCCTTGGTGAATTGTACTTGCTGATTTGAAAACAGTGCGTCCAGTGGATGTTTTCTTGTAGGTGTTTGAAGTAAGGAATGACAAAACCATAATAATATCAGTTTAGAAAATCGCAATCTGTAGCACTCTTGTACTCGGAATTTTTGTTATTTTGTTTATTTCTTTCATTTCATTCACCACCTCTTGGTAAAACTACAATCCGCCCGATCAAATCTTTTAAATTTCTCGTATTTTGTGTGATTTTCGGTTTATCCGAACACAGGTCCGTGACCTAAATCTAAGACAACTTCCGCTCGATTTATTGTAAGAGGGTCGTTTTTTTTTCGCTAATTAGTAAGAATGGGAGCTTGGTAATTGGCCTTTATTTCAATTTTATTAATTGCTCCACAGAATTTGAATGCAATTACATAGACAGGATAGACAGAATAGACCTCATTTGACATCAAATTCCCATAAAGAGATTGCAAGTTTTTATATATTTACCTACCTTAAAAGTGGTAGCCAAAAGCAGAGGTTCGTAGCATAAAAAGAAGAAAAAAGTTTTGCATGTGTGTGCTTGTGCTTGTGTTATGTGCGTCCTCACTACGGTTATGTCTGTGCTCGTGTTTATGTTGCAGTGCAAACCAGGCTTTAGCGAATAATGTTATGCTCGAAAACATCACAATGAAACGTGACCAAAAGTTTCAAAGTTTTCAAGTTTTTGTTCTTTTTGTGCGAGGCAATTATCCACTCTGCGCGTGCCTACGGCCTCACTACCGTGACGCTTATGCTTGTGCTTATGTTGATGTGAAGACCAGGCCTTAAGGGGTTAATTCTGATGGGATTGTGTAGAGCATTTTGGAGTTTCCGAGGTCAAGGCGGCGGGATTAGAGTATAAAATGCCGACCACGATATGGTATTGATATTTTCCGGAATCAGTCATTCCCGCCATAAGATGTAGAGAACAAAATAACTCAAAAACTCATTGGAATTTATCTCATTTATCTCACACTTCGTGAGCATTGTGAACATCGCGTTATGATTGATTTTTTGCAAGGTTTCCTCGCTGAATATTGACTTGTGCACATATGTTTTATCGTGACGAATAGCTTTTGAATGTTTCCCAAGCATCGAAGCAATCCGCGTAATTTGTTAATTTTCGACGCCGATTACTGCCATTATTATACGTTGAACTCACCATCTCTTTTCTGATTGACCAAAAGCGTACAGTGAATTTTAGACATCAGCGCCCGTGATGTTCCGGTATGTTGTTTCCTCTTTAATAATATTCATGCAAACATTTCAGCATGGTGATTGTCCGAGAGCATGCCAATTAATTCCAAAAAGTGCATAAAGTTTAAAAAAATTCGAGAAAATAGAAGGCTGTGGACGGTCTGGCCCTTAATCGTCTACAGTGCTCTACTGTTGCTTAAAAAGTAATTATACTATCTTGATAAGTCTTTGGTTTGCCAGCTCTAGTTTATTTAGCAGTTCTGGCATACATGTACAAAGTGCTTTTGTCTTAAAACAAATCTAATGGCACGTTTATTGATTCAGTAGCACTTTAAATGCAGAAGTGCTTGGAGTCTGAAGAGTAGTACAAATGTGGTAGAATGAAAGCCATATAGAGGTCTCGCCTAGTTTTAAACGGAAGCATCTTTTTCATGCTCTTCAGAACAGTTGCTTATTGCGCAAAGTTTCTGCAAATTTTAGATAAGTGTTTGTTAAATTTTATTTATTGTCTACAGCAACTCGGAGCATCTCAAGGTCCGTAGTGACTGGGATGACTGTACTTTCACAGCGAGACATGGTCTTAGCGAAACCATTCATCAACAAGAACACGGTCTGACTTTTTCGCTGTCTCAATCTCAGCATAATCTCAACAAGCACGGAAAATGTACATTGTATTGCATTGTTTGACTACGTAAAGGAGATTGTTTATGAAAATGGTAAAGAGAAATGCTTTCAAGATGAATCTCAGTGCGATTCCTCTTAAAGCTGTGTCCAGCTAGAATACTGAGCTCCTATTTTATCTATTTATTGCTGACGATTAGCGAAATAATTCTCTAATTGTTTGTTTGTGACAACAGCAACAATAACAACAAGAACGACAGCAACACCAGTGAATTGTTTTAGTTAATACCTTTGCCATCTTTCTTGCAGATCAGCCCGAAAATGTCCGCTTAACGACGAATACAACAAGCAAAGTGTGTACAGGAGTTGTAATAAACTTCACATGCACTGCTGAAGCTAAGCCACCAGTGCACACTTATTTGCTGTATGAAAATGACACTGTGATTAGGAATATGGGAATATCAGGAACCTTGATAAAAACAATTGGAAATGCTGGCCTCTTTGTCTTCAGATGTGAAGCAAATAATTCTGTCCTCGGGATTGGAAAAAGTAGCAATACTATCTTGACTGTTGATGGTGAGTTTGAAGTAATTTAACTAAGTTGCACTTTTATTGCAGGAAAGTGACCTAGTGACTCAAAAAGATTAACAAGTATAATCAGGGGTGAGACGAACGAGGACTGCCGGGATACGTAAGGAATTTGAGAGGTTGGGGAGGATTTACCTTCTGCAGGAGTAAGACACATCCTTTCATATCTGCATCATCTGGCGGATAAAAAATTCAGATTGTCTAAGAAAGTGTGTTAATCAATCTTTCATCTTTCATTGAAGCACCTACCTAAGTGTACGTGATGCCATGCAAAGGACATGTATAAGTAATGTACATTTGATGTTATATATTAAATACGAAACCTCGTGTCTGGTCACATTCCCAAACACCGAGAAGAGTTGAAAATACGATGCGTGGCGGAAAATACGATGCGTGGCGGAGTATTTTTTGACGAACTTCGAGGTGTTTGGAAATGTGGTCAAACACTGTCTTGAGTGATTGATATATCTCCTCAATCAAAAGTAAAACAAGATAAAACGGAGAAATAAAATCCTAAAAATCTATGCTTATTTAGATCAGATATCCAAACACCGTCATGGCCATGATTTCCTTTGTTTAGAATTGATGAATGAATTATTAATGAGTTTGAGAATGTCTTGTTTTAGTCCCGGCATCTGTTCAGCAGGCCGAAAATAAAGTTGTCAAAGAAGGTGGTAGTGTGGAGGCGAACTGTAATGTGACTGCAGGTATTCCTGATCCAACTGTCATGTGGACAAAGGTAGCGACATGTGAGCGCATCAAGGGAAACCCATTGACAATCACGAACATCAACCAAGCCCAAGCTGGAGAATACAGGTGCACTGCAAACAACACTTGTGGAGTGGACTCTACAGTGGTGGACATTGATGTACAGTGTAAGAATGTAATTAAGTCTTTTTACATAAAGTCTTACTTAGAAATTTCCTAATGTAAAGTTTAACAAGAAGACTAAAGATAATTTCTATTAACAAGTCTAAAAATCACCGAACGTTTTCAACACTAGCTCATCTTCAGGGTAAGTAAAGACTGTCCGCTAATTGTGTATTTACAATATATCTGTTACGTAATTCTCGATAGGA